GGGTAAATTTTGCTGTCACAATTGTGTTCTTTGCAAGGTGAGACAATCCTCTTTTTCCTCTGACCATTTCCTCACTGTGCTGTCTCTATGTAGCAAACATATCCCTTCCATGACTTTGCTGTACCAGGCTGAGACCAGTGTTCTTGCACTGCTCCTCCTACAACCTTATAGCCTTTCTGTACCTCTTTCTGCTTGAGTTCAGCACTTTCGATTGCAGGTGACCTTTAACTTCTGTGTTCATTTTTTAGCACCTCTTGCTGGTTTACCATGCTTTCTGTTTTGTTATCTTCCTCAGATGAACTACCAAGGGCTGTGTGCTGGCTTGGTAGAAAATCCTTCTTTGCCTGCATGGCCCAGGTGTAACTCAGGACATGTTGGTTGCTACTCACAGCCTGCAAAAGCATCAGGAAGGATACAGGTCCTTACAGCCTGGTTCATAGCTGACATGAAGAAAATCAGAAATGCAACCTCCAATCTTCCCTCTCCCCCAGCTATTCTCGTCTGAACTTCCAGAGGAAGTTTAGCATGCCTGCAGCTTTCAGCACACCACATCTGTGAACACACTGGTGGTTATTTATCTCTACCACCCTTCAGCCCAGCAGTGCTCTCTCTGCCCATGGTCACCTTAAATTACCTGTAGGAGAGCCAGTAGGGATCAGCACGGGGACAAGAATAAAATCTATCTTTCCCTGTCCCTCAACCCAAGCAACTCCCACTGGTTTTCATAATCATAATTATCTCCATTTCAGCCAGCAGTTCCCAAGCCCACCCCGGTGCTGTGGGTCTTTCTTCCCACCCACTCTCATACCTGTCAGACAGGGACAGCACCTTTTCAAAGTCATATTTGTCATCTCCTAAATTCATCTCCGTTCCCTTCCTTTCACTGCTTTTGACAAATCACAACCTCTGCTGCCTTTAAGGAATTTTCTTCCTCTGTTGAGAAAAGCTCAGGGGTTTGCTGTGTGTCAGAAACACTGACCACCCCAGAAGTGATACAGGCACATAAACCTTTTTGACAGCCTGGTAGGCCCAGGGACCTGAATGTGTACATCACTTTGGAGAACACAGCAAAACAACTCTTGGAAATGTTACATCAGACTCCAGAATTCTGCTGTTCTCCTCCAAAACACTGGCATCACCACAATTTTTTCCTCCCTCTCCTTATTACCAAGCTGTTACCCTTGTGCCCAGCATAGTCCTCCTTGGTCTGCCTGGAGAACAGCAGCCAACAATCCTCCAGCCACAGCAGTCACATGGACTACTTACTTCTATCTTAGTTTTTTTTGAACTTGAATTCAAGCTCCTTCCCTCACCTTTAAGGCCCTCTGCATCTTCTTTCTTGCTTCAGCTTTCTCCAACACATGCAGCATTTCCTCTGATCTTTCCCCACCATGCTCTTCCAGTTCCATGCCTCTCTTTACCATTCAGAATTGTGGCTGGTGAAAATACACAGCTGGGAGATTTCCCAATTAAAAAATATGCATTTTGAATGTATTGAAATCTTTTTCTGACATCCTAATCCATGCAGCAGCAAGTAAATCAAGAAAATATGTAAGATTTTTTAAATTTTAGAACATGTATTAATGTTTTAAAATGAAGAAATATTTCATTGTTTTATTGGTTTTGTGTCAAATTATCATTTAATCTTTTTTATATGTGTTAATAACTTATAAGCCAAACTAATCCGAAAAGCATCCAACGGAAAAGGAGGCATATTTAATTTATTAATATTTTGATCCTAGCAAGAAATAATGAAACTTGACCTTACCGATTTCTAAACAAAAACGTAAGTAGAATGGAGCTACATTACATCACACTGTGTGTCTGTAACAGCAGGACATACTGTTGACTTATTATTGATCATACAGTAAATATCTAGAGAATACAGTTAATAACTTCAATAACAGTTATGCTTTGGATCTGCTCCTGAGTGAATCTCTGGCATTCTCTGTGCTCTTATAAATCAGAAAAATGGTGCCTGTTGAGATTAATGGATGAAAAGCATATAATTTGTCTGACTTATAAGCACCACATTTGCAATATTACGCAAACAAAAAAGAATTTAGTCTTTCAAGAAAAGAAAAAAAAATTCAAGCCTGATTGTGCTTCAATATTATGTCCTTGACCATACATCCTAAATGAACTAACATATACTTTAAAAATCCCCAACACAGTGAAGAAACTCTGAAATATCTCCACATGAATAAAAGCTGCTTAAAAATGATTGCAAAGAGGTATCAATAGCTGTGAGTTCTTATTTTGCTGAGAAAGTCAACACACTACTAATGGAGAGGGATATAAACAGACTGCAGTATACAAGTTGATATGAGCTGAAAGAAATTAAAAACTAAAATAATGCGACCTGGAAACTATATATCATCTTCTGTAAAATGTCACAGATTTATTAGGGTGTGTTCTGTGATGGAGACATCCAAACTTCAAAATTTTTCAGTTAACTCAAGGATAGCTGTGAAGAAGGGAAGTTTAGCAAATGCATTAAAAGGAGAGCACCTGGCCATGTGCTACCTTTACTGTGTTCAAAAAGAGCCGTATTCGATTTTTGTTTTGTCGAATGTGTCTATAAGCCCTCTCACCTCTTTTCCTGTTTACCACCACTACAAAATCTTCTATTTGCCTTCAAATCTATTCTGTAGCTGAGAGCTGCCCATTTGACACCTGCATATCACCAAATCTCATCCGTTTCTGCAAGTAATGAAGTAAACCTTCTGGAAACCCCTGAGCCTGAGCAACACAGTAGAAGGAGAAGAGGACAGGAGCCAGCTGAGAGGTACAGACTTCTTGCTGTCAAAGGTAAAGTCCATCCATATTTAACCTGCTACTAATGGGCTAACTTAGGCAACCAGGGGACCTGCAGAAGCTACCTTTTCCTTTATACTCTCCAGGAAACTGCTTTATCAGTTTGACTGTGTTGCTGAATAATGTGGAGAGGGGAGAAAATGGAAAATGCTGTGCCCTGGTTAGACACTGTCAAAGATATTAATGGTGTAAGAATGGTCTGAAGTGCAGCGTCTCCTATCTCTGTTCAGCCCAGGAAAAATGCTTCTGAATTTTGCCAAAATCAGATGCTTCACATCTGTAAATCTAGATTTATGCATCTGTATCTATCTACATATTTATAGCTATAACACAGTATAATTGTTTTATGACTTTTTTACTTTTGATTGTTGAGTCTATTAACCCCTTTTAAGGTGTCCCTGAGAGGCAATTAAGAACAGTGAACCAGTGCTGCAAAGCTTAATAGTCAGTGTCAGGTTCACACATCAAAAGCATTAGCAGGAAATACTTTCTGCCTACGTCTGTTGCTACATGAAGAGCCATTATCTAGCAACTCAATATTTACAGGCTTATGCCTTACACAAAGTTAAAATTAATAACCCAGATGCCCTAGCTACCACTGAAAACTCTATAGAGTAGAGAATTATACAATCAATGTAGATCGCAGCACTGCTTTTCTTGCATTACTCATTATTTCTGAACAAGTAATTCTGTAGGGTTGAGCGCTGTATTTGCAGCATGTTTTTCTGCATTGCACGTACTCATTGAAACAGTCCTGGTTCTCCAAGAAAAGCTGAGGCAGGACAGTGAGGCATGAGCAGCATCCATACCTGGAGCAGAGGATGAACACTGACTACAGTACTCCTCTCCTGCTCAAGTGACACAGCCAGGCAAGAAGGGGGGAATTGTGATTCTTTGCACGTCAATACAAAAATCTTCACTGTTCTCTCTATTTTTGTGTATCTGTGCAGCAATTTTTAACTCAGGAGAGCACATCCTCTACTTTTAATGAATTAATCACTTTCATTCATAATATTGCTACAGCTTAATAGCAATGATTATTACAAATTATTCTTCCTTCCTGAAACTCTGTGTCTTTGAAGCTCTTTCAAGACCTGGTCAGCCTGTAAGCAAGTACAATATAGGTGCTGCAGAGCATAAGCTTTCAAATGTCTTACCAGTAACAAATCAAACTCCTTTGAAAGAATCATTACTTCTTGAAATGTGGACACTTAAGGCTGCAAACCAGATCCCCTTTTACAGGGATTGTGAGCTGACCTCTGAAACAGGAACAATTGTGGCTAAAGCACTGACTCACTTTGGGAGAACAGGTCGGGCTATTTCAAAGCTACCTTAATTGCAGTTCTTCAGAAATGACAGAGAGGAAACACCCCTGATTCTGGTTTTCTCTAAACTAGAACAGGCAGGGGCATTAATCTTCTGTGTTGTAGCAAGAGGTAGAGCCAAGCTCTTCAGCAGCTGCCCTGGAGGGCAGTGGCAGCTGTAGTGCCAGCAGTTTGGCACTACAACCGCTGCTGTGTAGACCTGCAAACTCCTGGCTGCTACAGAGCTTTTTGTATGTGGTCCTGTATCCACTCATGGAAAACTATCTTGCATGCCTCTGCACTCCATGCCAGTATCTAGCCCTGTTCAGCTCAGCGAAATATGTGATTATACTGCTGGGTGATGTCTCCTTAAGTCAAGGTTTTTGTGCTACAGGCAGAAAGATTCCCTACCACTGGGAGCACAAGAAAATCCAGATCCTTAGATCAGATGCAGGTTTTGTACCCTTTTTTATCATTATGGCAATTCAGAGCATGAATTTTTCCCTGTCATAATAATGATGTTGTAATGATACATACTAAGTGCCAGCAACCCACTGGCACTAAGGCAGTTTTGGAGAAACCCAGTGCTCCTATATGCAGGAGCCTGGTGTCTGTATCCATAATGATGTTCAACCAATGTTCCTATATGCAGGAGCACTCCCTCATGTATAGGAATGACTGGCAAGCTGCAGGACAGCCTTTTGAGAAGCTGCTTTGGTCCAGCTACTGAGACTGAGACTGTATTTTGCAGTTCTTCTCTGCCTGGAGACTGACCCACAGGCTCAGCATAGCACAGAGAGAGGCAGAAACCACCCTGGGAGTACTGTGCCAGAACAGTGAGCCATTTATCCCTTCCTCTTTCCTGCACAGGTATCTGAGATGAATCCCACAAGCCAATCCCTTGGCACAACAGAGTATGACTATGCATACGATGAAAACACTGCACCATGCAATGAAGGAAACAGCTTTCACAGGTTTAAATCCCTCTTTCTGCCAATTCTTTACTGCCTTGTATTTGTCTTCTGCCTTCTGGGAAACTCCTTGGTCCTTTGGGTTCTTCTGACCAGGAAAAGGCTGACGACCATGACTGACATCTGCCTTCTGATCTCCTCTTCGTTGTGCCTCTCCCTTTCCAAGCGCACTACGCTTCAGACCAGTGGGTTTTTGGCAATGCTATGTGCAAGATAATGGCTGGCATTTATTACACAGGTTTTTATAGCAGTATTTTCTTTATAACCCTCATGAGCATAGACAGGTATATAGCAATTGTCCATGCTGTCTATGCCATGAGGATACGGACAGCCTCTTGTGGCATAATTATCAGTTTAATCCTGTGGCTGGTGGCTGGCTTGGCCTCTGTGCCTAACATCATGTTCAACCAGGAGCTGGAAATCGAGCAGGCTGTGCAGTGTGTCTCCACATACCCCACAGGCAACAATACCTGGAAAGTTGTTTCTCAGTTTGCAGCCAATATCTTGGGCCTCTTGATTCCCTGTAGCATCCTCGTTTGCTGCTATGCTCAGATACTGAAAAACCTGCAAAAATGCAAAAATCAAAGCAAGATCAAGGCAATCAAGATGATCTTCATCATCGTCATTGTTTTCTTCCTCTTCTGGACTCCCTTCAACATTGCACTGTTCCTAGACTCTCTGCAGAGCCTGCACATCATCAATGACTGCAAGGCAAGCTACCAGATAGCCCTGGCCCTGCAGGTGACAGAAACCATCTCCTTCATCCACTGCTGCCTGAACCCCATCATCTACGCCTTCGCTGGTGTGACATTCAAGGCCCATCTTAAAGGACTGCTTCAGTCCTGTGCCTGTGTCTTCTCCACCCCTGCTGGAGGTGCTGGGTTTGGCCAGTCATTTTCAACACCCACCCAGCTCTCCAGCTGGTCTGACAGTGCAGGTGTCCTGTGAGCCCACCTGAGCTGTCTTTAGCTGGTTCAAGGGGCTGGTCGAAGGTCGATGTCGTCCTGGAGGTTGTACCACATGTGCAGCATAATAAGTTTCACAAGAGCACCAGCATATTTGCAAAGTGGTGACTGCACAAGCTTGCCCCAGAATGATTTTAAGTAAGTTTAGAGCTCTTTCAATAGATTTCATCAAGCAGGGTGCTTCCTCTAGTATTTATTTTCTCCTGTGATGAAAGCATTGCTTCTGCCTCATCCCCAAATAACCTCTGCCTTGTGGAAGCTGTTCCGTACCTGATTCCCTACATCCCTGGGACAGGCATGGGACACCCCTCTGGGAAGCAGGGAAGTGGACAGGCATGGGATTGCTTCACACTGCAAAGTGGGAATCACCTCATCCACTGTCACCATTCACCCTTTCCCTCAGCTCCCAGATGAAGAGACCCCTCAGCTTGGGACCCTGTTACTTTGCTGTGGGATGCTCCCAGGAGCACAGCCATCGTGTCCCTGGATCTGCTGCCACCCAGAGCAGCCTTTGGTGATGATGTCTCCAAAAATAACAAAGCAATGCCTCCAGGTGCCTCCTATACTGGTCACTCATGGAGGGTCATACACTTGAATATGTTGTCATCAAAGCAGGCATGTCTACAACACTGCTGGAGCTGTGGGACCTCCAACTCTCTGCTTCCAGTGCTTGCTGCTAAATGTAACCAACACAAAATGGCATCTAGCAAGTAGGCTCCATCTCTTTTTTCATATGTCATTATTTTCTGCCATTTTAGAAAAGCTTTCTTTGAATAAACATAATAGCTGTACCTTTTTGTCTTGACTCCTGAAAGTCTGTCTAATGATTCACAAGCTTAGCTTAGGATAAGGGAAGGATCTGTTTACTGGTTTTTCAGTGGTTGTCACTTAAAATACATTCAATGTAATTGAAAGGCACCCTGAAGCTCTTCAGCAAAATAACTCTTGCCTCTACTTCCCTGCTGAGGAAGATTTGTTCTCAAAATCCCAACAAAAATTCACAGCAAAAAATTAACATTTATGTTGAGGTAGTACTACTGTCAACACAATTTTAAAAGGTAAACATATGCCAATAACATTTGTTGTATGGTAGAACATGAAATTGTAAAGTGAAAGATCATCTCATCTCTCAGTAGGAGTGGGAAACGTGAAGTTGTCACTTGGTACTGCTCTTAATTCCAGGAGCTGCTTTAGCCCTCTCCTACTTAGAAATTTCAACCCACTGCAATATACTCTTGATCATCTGGTTTCCTTGCCCCTTTTTCTTTTCTCTGGATCACTTCCCTTAGCACAGACTTCCCACTCCTAAGGACTACTTCCTCTGTTTCAGGAGTCTCCAGCACCTTGATTTCTTTTCTGCTGTAAACACACTAGAGAGTAAGTCTGTATCTTTGTCCCTAATCCTTTCCTCAGAGCACATCTCTGCTTCTCCGTATCAACCTGCCAGTTTGGCTTTCAAAAGTTGGGGCTGAGAAAAGCTGCCCTGTGTGGAATGCTGGTAAGTAAAAGAAGAGGTCTTGAATTCCTCTAGCCTATCTCCAGCTAAAACATCTAAAAATTTCTTGAAATATATTACTCTGTCTTCTTAGTATTGCCATGTGAAATATTCACCGAACATTACCTCTTGTTAAAGGGGGATCTAACAAGGGAGAGACTTCCGTAACCCTTTAAATGGAGACTTTGCTTCCGGAGTATCTTCTGTAGCCTCATCCCCCAGTGATACTGTGTTGGTACTTTTATTACCAGGCCACCAGCCTTGTGCTGAGTGTGCAAGGCCTTAGGGCTGAGGTTTGCCAGCCTGGCTTTGGCTGAACCCATTTTGACCAGCCCAAAGCTTTATTTTTGCTTGGTTTAGCTGTAACAGCATTTCTGGGTAGTTGTCTTTATTTATTTTGTCCTAGTTTTGCTTATGTTTTGTTGCACAATCACAGTTTTTATGCAGATAGTAGTAAAATACAGCTATTCTTTCTAACGTGACTAACTTGATGTTGCAACTTAGAGAGAGACAGTCTAAGTATGATAGAGGCCTTGAGAAGTAGAAAAAGGGCATCAGGTGCAGAGGAACCATTGCACGAGGGACCATTTGTATGAAGCCACTGACCTTAGGACTCAGAAGGGCAGTGGAAAAGTTAAAGCATTACACTCAGAAAAGGGGTATATACAGAAAATTTAACCATTTTTTGTTGTTAAGGAGGATGATGATGATAATGGTTATTTTATTGTTGTTTTTTCCCAGAATTATTCATGTCTTTTTTTTTTCCCCCTCTTTTTGTTCTTTATTTTTCTGAGATAGTTAGATCTGGACTAATGATGACTGCTGGACTAGAGTGCTAAAAAGTTCAATTACACTAAAAATGAATTATTTTGTTTATATGTAAAGTGTTTCTTTTCTGCCCACTGTGAACTTTACATTTGTCCTACAGGTGAGGCCAACCAGGCAGCATTGAGCACCTTGGTAGACAGGCTGGATTGTGGCACAGCAAGGTTATGAGGTACAGCAGCCCTTTGGGGAGAATCAAAACAGGTGTGAGAAAGTGAATGTGTCTCACCCTGAAAAACTGAGGTTTTGCAGGCCTCTATAGGATAATCAGTTTAAAGCCAGGTACTGAATTCAGTAATGCAAGACACAATAGTCATCAGGATTTGTATAATATTTTCCAGGGCTTGACATCAGTGTTGAAAAGATACAGATAAGAACTACATGTTACCTTCTTATCTTATTTATGTTCAAGTTGTAAAAAAGAAGAATTGGACCAGACAAAATCAATAATATTGCTCATTTGTGGCCACGCACTGTAACTATTTGTAGTCTTACATCAGAATCTTGGCTACAGAAACACATCTCATATGGTCTTCTTTTTCATACTTTGTATGGGTTTGGCAGTTCTTAATTAGGAATACATGACAATCAAAATACATTGTCCAATGCAAACCCCAAATATATTAATAAATTAACGCGAAGTGAGATAGAAAACTTTCTGTGGTTTACAATTTCTGTTGAAATTACCTCATAACACCACGAAGTTCTGAAGCTTGTCTGGCTTCAACTTTCTTTAAGAACCTGAAAATCTCAGAGGTCTGCTCAAACTCTAGTGGCCCTTAGAAGACTTTTGTGCCCAACTGCTCTCTCTCTATCATCACTTCCTTTCCTTCTCTTGACCTGGAGAAGATAATCAGGTGTCCTCTCTCATCCATCCCAGTGCACTCCAGTGTCAGCTGGTCACTTGGTCTTCCCACCCTGCAATGGGTCATCCTGTTCTCTTCCTTCACATTGATACTCAAGCTACCTGATAAATTGTTTTCACTTGTCACAGCTTTCTGATACAACCTTTCCAGTGTGTCTGATGTCAAGAGCTTTTTGCCCTAATCTTTTTTCAAGCTTTTTTTCTCAGGCATAGAAAATGTTAGGTTATACCCCAGAAGAGATTCCCTGATTTCAGGGAAAACAACCACAGGCTTGTGGGGCTTATAATTCCCTGACAGTCTTTTCAATGAACTATGTGGAGGGAGGGAAGCTGGAAGGAACACTGTGTAAGCATTTAATGTTTGATGTATATAACATTAGAACAACTAAGAGATAAGAAATGGTCCCTGGTCAGTGTGGAAAGATGGTAACATACAGTAAAATTCTCCAGTATCCAATAATACTGAAAACATATTTTGACTTGAAGAATTCTTGTGAAACGGAGCATCAGTGTACAATATTAATTCCCCAAACAAACACACCAGTGGTAGTTTGGTTTTGAGAAGTCGGGTGAAGAGCACCTCAGGCAATGAAAATATATATTATTGCTATGGTTCACATGAATCTTTATGTTGGCCTTCATTCCAGTATCCTTAGTACAGCTTAGGTGGAAACGCCAGCTTTCCTTTGAATTCTCTTACTCATACAGCTTTTTAGTTGAAGTTATTTTTATGACTTACTTGTGACTTGCTTTCATCTTAACACTTATGCAATCCCTTCCAAGAAGGCTGGCAAACTAGTTTGCACATGCTAAATACACTGGCATAAAACTACTGCAGTGTGACCTGAGAGCTTCACCAATACTTGGCTTCCTATCACTCCTGCTAGCACTGATACTATTTTGCACAGTGGCACAAACAGCCTATCCACAACTGACAGAGCAGGTGTAAAATATCTCACTTGTGGACAAAGCTGTAAGCCAGCTCTTCCATTCCCATTATGAGGCAGCAATTGACACTGACTTCAGAAAAAGGAAAAAAAAGAGAGAGACAGAATGTAATAAAGTTTAACACACCACAGTACAGAAGATACCACAGTGACCCTCATTTGCTGAGGGTGGAGAAGAGCATGCAGTCTGTGGTATCACAGACTCTGCATGTGGTTAGTTCGCTGTGGACTGTGAGAAAGGAGGTTGTGATGACTTATCTAAAGCCCAGTGTTTACTTCTATTTTCTCCACCCTGTAGAATATGGTGTCTCCAACATATAAATAAAACTTGTTGAAAGATGATTAGTGTCAGATTCATTTCATCTATAAACTGTTGTAGCATGGATACCAGCTGGATTCTCCATGGGGAGTTTTCTTGGAAATAAAGCAGGCTCCACCAGGTAGGTGCACATGAGTGTGAGGCCAGTGTATGAGAAGACAGAAGACTGTCTGGAGCTAGTTGCATCTTTAGGGTTCAGTTTCATTGAGCAGTCCTGCAGATACCTGAGAAGCAAAACCAGGGAAGACTTACATTTCAGTGGTGCCAAGTTCTGTGTCACAAATACTACTGAAATTTGAAAGCTTGTCATGGGACAGGCACAAGTTCCATCAAGGGATTTAGGCACTTAGACCCGAATTTATGTTACCCACCCTTGAGTGCCTACATGTAGCACATAAATTAAGCATCTTCCCGTTCCATTTAAACTTCGATTTGCATAGATGACCTCTGCAGTTGTGTTCTTCATGTTCCAAGACCCAATGTGAAGACCAAGAACCAGCAGATACAACAGATGAGAACTCTGCCCCAGCAT